ATAAAGAGGCAATTTCACAGATAACAAGCACACACTGCACAGCTTTGGAGACCGAAAAGGCTGAGAGGAAGACAGTCCCTGGAGGGTGCTTGGGGTTCCTGGGGAGCAAATGTTTTCATTCCAGATGCAGGTTGTCAGGAGCCCGGCCTCTTTTTTTTATTGCTGCAGAGTAACCAGCCTGGGCACTGACTGAGGAGGGAACTTCTTGCTGTAGTTGCAGAAGCCACAGACCACAAAGGGAAAAGAGAGGGTGGTGGTCAGTGTCAGGGCTCCTGAAGGTGGGCGTTTGCTCTGCTGATGGCATGCGAAAACTTAAGAAACCACAGGAAATTCCCACTTGGACACAGTTTGTCCTTTGAAGCCTCAGTTTTCTCATCTGCAAAATGGTGATAATCATGGAATTTTCTTAGGACAGTTGAAAAGATTTGAGGTCTGTCTTAGGCTGGGTTCTCTAGAGAAGCAAAACCAGTAAAGTGTATAAATATATATATACAGAGAGATTATATCAAGGAAACAGCTCATGTGATTGTAGAGGCTAGAACGTCCCAAGTCCGTGGATCAGGGTAGAGGCCTCTCCCAAGTCACACAGCTGCAGAAGCTGGCAAGCCCAAGATCAGCAGGTCGGAGAGCAGGGCTCCCACTCACAGGCTGTGCAGATCGACGAATCCCAGGTTCGGCAGATAAGCTGACAGCTCAAGTCCCAAGAATGGGAGATGAGACGACAGGAAGCAGCTGCAGGATCCAGAGAGAGCAAAAAGCCAGAAAGTCTGCTTATATACAGATGCAGGCCACACCCCCAAGGAGACTCCCTTTCATCTGATTGGCTACTCACAGTATATTCAATCATGGGAGTGATTACATTAAAACACTGAGAATCATGGCCCAGCCAAGTTGACACACAATCTAAACCATCACAACGTCCTTTGTGTAAAGCATCTAGCACACAGTAAGCACTCAGAAAATCCAGGTGTCATTTCAAGGTTGTGTGACCTTGGACTACCTGGTTCCCTTTACTGAGCCTCAGTTTCCTCATTTGTAGACTGGATAATCACTCATCTTTCTGGATGTTATGAGGAATATAATGAGCCTAGAATTTTAAAAACAAAACAAAAACCCTTTGCCATCGTTTCGATTCCAACTCATGACGACCCTATAGGACAGAGTAGAACTGCCCCATAGGGTTTCCAACGCTGTGATCTTTACGGACTTGAAGCACTTACCGATGAAGATCAAAGACCACAGTCTTTAGTATGGATTACACCTCAACATAAAGAAAACAAAATCTTCACAACTGGAGCAAAAAGCAACATCATAATAAATGGAGAAAAGATTGAAATTGTCAAGGATTTTATTTTACTTGGATCCACATTCAACTCCCACAGAAGCAGCAGTCAAGAAATCAAATGACATATTGCATTGAGCAAATGTGCTGCAAAAGACCTCCTTAAAGTGTTAAAAAGCAAAGATGCCACTTTAAGGACTAAAGTGAGCTTGACCCAAGCCATGGTGTTTTCAATCACTTCATACGCATGGGAAAGCTGGACAATCAATAAGGAAAACCAAAAAAGAATTGACACCTTTGAACCATGCTGTTGGCAAAGACTATTGAATATATTGTGGACTGCCATAAGAACGACCAAATCTGTTTTGGAAGAAGTACAGCCAGAATGCTCATTAGAAGTAAAGATGGTGAGACTTTGTCTCATATATTTTGGACATGTTATCAGAAGGGACCAGTCCCTGAAGAAGGCATCATACTTAGTAAAGAAGAGGGTCAGCGAAAAAGAGGAAGACCCTCAACTAGATGGATTGATACAGTGGCTGCAACAATGGGCTCAAGCATAACAACAATTGTGAGGATGGCACAGAACCAGTGTTTCATTCTGTTGTACATAGGGTCACTATGAATTGGAACCGACTCGATGGCACCTAATAACAACAATCTTTACAGAAGTAGACTGCCACATTGTTCTCCCTTGGAGCAGCTGGTGGATTTGAACCACCAACCTTCTGGTTAGCAGCCAAGCACTTAATTCCTGCACCACCCAAGACCCTCAAGAAATGATGGTTGTTGACATCTTGGAGCTTGTGACCTTGCGCAAGTCTCGTTTTCCCTCGAATCCTCAGTTTCCCATCTGCGAAATGGGGATAATCCTGGCCACCACTCGGGGATTCTGTGAGGATTGGAGAGGATGTATATAGGCCCCTGGATTGTGGTTATTACTGAGCGTCAGGAGTGCAGAGGTTAGGAGAGCATAGGCTGGAACCCAGCTGCCTGGGTTCAAATCCCAGGTCTTCCACTTCCTGACTGTGACCTCAGACAAGTTGCCACACTTGCCTTGGTGTTCTCATCTGTCAGTGCTAATTCTTACCTCCTAGAGAGACTGCCAGGGCAAGAGGAGTTAATACAGATGTTAAAGTTCATAGAAGAGTGCCTGGGATGTAGTAAACGTTCAATAAATGTCAGCTATAAATGTTATGCCAAAGCCACTTGACCTTGGACAGGTCACATTTCTTCTCTAGGGCTCAAGTATAAATGGGGTTTGGGGGTGAGGGTTCACTAGCTTAGTGGTGTCAATCTTGGCTGCTCATTAAATTCACCCGGGGAGCTTTGGAAAAATTCCAAGGCCGAGGCCCCACCCTAGAAATTCTGATTTAATTGGTCTAGCACAGGCCTGGGCATCTGAATTTTTAAATAACTCCAGAAGATTCTAACACACAGCCAGGGTTGAGAGTCCCTGAGCTACATGTTCCCTGGGGTCAAAGAAGAAAGATTGTATTTTTTTTCCTCGCAAGGAAATTTTCTCGTGGTTCTGGGGCTTCAGAGCAGCTTTCGGGGTATACGTGCTTCAGAATAGCACCTGTCAGTGACAGCTGTTTGGGAGCCCAAGAAAATATGCCCCAGGGGTTTGGCAAGAACACCCTACCCATGGACATGCCTCGGGGCTGAGAAGGAGTTCCACCCTCTCTGTCCACCAAGAGGGGAAGCCCAGACAAAGCCGGGTTCAGATCCAGCTCATTGTCAGGGAACTTTCCCATCTATAAATATGTCTGTGTCTGAACAGGTGAGGGAATTTCAACAAATACTCGCTGTTCAGCCACAGAACCTCCCCCGCCTCAGCACACCGCAGTGTCTCTGACCAAATCTGCTCCATCCCCCCTCTCAGAATGCTTTCAGATTTTATAAAGAGCTAATCTGGAGGAAACTGCCTGTGATCTTGTTTGTGTTTTGAAAATCCGTCGCCAAACATGCTTCCTGAGGAAATTATTTAAAAACAAAAAGCACAATTATAATTGGGTGGTTTCTACTGCTTTTTTCATTTGTATCTTTTCTTTGTTATTTGTTTTGGTGACAGCTGCAGGGAGCAGGATTTGGGACTCTTTTTGGTGTGCTTTTCTGTGCTTTTGTTTTGCCTTCTTACTGCCTAATGAGTAAATATGTAGTTTAAGAACTCATGATGAGCAGATCTTACGATCTCAATACTAGGTGTTATTTACTGAGCACCTACTACACGCCAGGCTCCACGTTGCACATACACCATCCCTAATCTTACCAGGTTGGTGTTTTCATCCAGTTTTTGCAGAAACAGACACTGAGGGTCAGAAAGATAAAGCACAGAGACGCTAACATTAGTCAGCCCTTGGGTAGGGTGAGCTCCGCCAGTACTCACTGTGTGTCCTTGGCCAGCACCTGCCTCTCTGAGCCTCATGCAATAAATGGGGGTTACTGTCACCTAGTGCACAGGGCTGGTGGGAGGATGAAAAAGCTGAGGGGCAGGAGGGATTAGCTCAGCGTCAGGACCTGGGAGCCCTCAATAAATGGTCACTGGTCACCCCATGTCATGCTTTTAGGGATATCCAGACAGCTGGTGTTCTCATGACTTGACTTATTCAAGTGACATGCTCCTTACTATGCGCTAAAATGTTCCATGGGTGTTAAGAGGCAAGTCATATATTTACAAATGCGAATACTTGTACTATTTGCTGTCACAGACATTTGGGTAATAGTTAACAATTTGGAGACCCCAGAGGCGCTCCGTTAGGACCCACCCACCGGGATAGATTGCCCTGATTCTTCGATTCTTGGAGGCTTTTCAGGCACTGGAAGTGCATCTGGGCTTAGTATCCCCATGGGTCTCTTGTAATTACTGATTAACAAATTACCCTCTTTGGGCTTACTCAGTGATCTCAATTTTCCACCTAAAGCTGACCCAGAAGAAGACTCTAGGTTCAGAGAAACATTATCCCGCCCCTTCCTTTCAATTTCAGGGCTTGGCACACATTAGGTACTGCAGGAATATTGATGAAAAGAATGACAAGTATGAAATAATAAATACCTAAAGGAGAGGGCTCTCTGGATGTAAATGAAGTCTGGGTTAAGGATAGGTCTGCATTTGTTTATTTCTGTTAAGCATCATCTGAGTTCCATCCAGATCAGAAATGCTGGCTTTGCCTCATTCGATCTTCGTCAGCCCTGGAAGAACACTTATGGTCGCATTTTACAGATGGGGAAGCTGGGACTTGGGGCAGTCACACTTCCAGTGGGCTCGTCAGCCCGGATCCCACTTTCATGCTGTTCTCACTCTGCCACTTCTTCCCCTTTGTTTACTTCTATAAATGCTTTCTTTAACATGGGAAGGTTTCTGGCTGAGGCCAACCAGGAATAGTTAATACAAAGAATGAGACTTGTGAGTAAATTTGTTCCAGTGCGGAGATTGGTGGGGAAATCACCTGGTGCAAGGAAAAGAAAATGGACTTTGGACTCAGGTGTAGAATTCCGTGATGGTCCCACCACTCACTGTCTGCCCTCAGTCAGGTCCCTTCACCTCTCAGAATATTTGTTTCCTGCTCTATGAGATGAGGACAGTGACCCCTCCCTCCCAGCATTATTAGCAGAATTAGAGAATACTAAGGATGAAGAGTTTAAGCAGTGTCACACACTTATTGTTCATGGTGATGACGCAATGATGGCTATTCTTTACAAATGCTCCTTCTTGTAGCCAAACCCTCTCCCCTTGTGGTATCTGGCCACACCTGGGCAGACAGTGACCTTCACCTGCGAGTCCTATGGCTTCTACCCCAAAGATGTCACCCTGAAGTGATTCAAAAATGAAAATGAGTTCCCAGCCCTCCAGACCAACGTGGTCCCACCAGGCAACAGTGTCTCCTACAGTGTCTCCAGCAGGACCCAGGTGATGCTGACCCAAGAGGACGTCCACGGTCGGGTCATCTGTGACGTGGCCCACAGTACCTTGCAGGGCTCTGTTCGTGGGACAGTCAACTTGTATGAGACCATCCCAGGTAGATGACACTCACACCCAGCCCAGACCCCCACCCAGCTCCCCCAGGTTTGCTCCAGGGCTTGAACTTCCGGGAATCCAATTCCTGATAGTCCCTCCCAATTACCGTAAACTTACACTGTGTCAGTCACACAGCTCAATACTTTCACCTACTATTTTAATGGCAGCTTCCAGTTTAACACCTTCCATGTGCCAAGCACAGTGTTAGTTAGTTTCATTTATTTTACCAGTAGCAATGACAATTATTGGGCACTGACTACATACTAAGCCCCTATGTGCTTGGTGATTTTGTTTATTTTGCAAGAGTTATTATGTTCAGAATTCATCCAAGGAATTGTACTTGTTGATTTCACTCATTGTTACCCTAATAGGAGCTATCAATCCTTGAGCACCTACTGTGTGCCAGGCACTGTGTCTAGTGATTTCATTCATTATGCAAAGAGGATGTATATTGCTTGGGTACCTCCTGCATGTCTAGCATTGTCCTCAGTGATTCCCTTGCCATGATTATGCGAGCTAACCATTATTGAGCCCCCTCGTGATCTGTCTGTTCCACAAGGTCAGAGCTTCTGCTCTGTATTCTTTCAGTTCCACCCACCTTGGAGGTTACTCAACTCCCCATTCAAGAGAACCAGGTGAACGTCACCTGCCAGGTGAAGAAGTTCTACCCCAAGAGCCTAGAGCTGACCTGGTTGGAGAACGGAAATGTGTCCCGAACAGATTCAGCCTTGATCCCCACTGAGGACAAGGATGGGACCTATAACCTAAAGAGCTGGATCCTGGTGAACTTATCTGCCCACAGGGAGGATGTGGTGCTCACCTTCCAGGTGGTGCATGACGGGCAGCCAGCAGTCACCAAAAACCTGACCCTGAAGTACACTCCTCCCCCAAAGGACCAGAGCACAGAGTTAACCTCTGGCAAGGCCTCCACTCCACCCCATCTGGCTTTTTTAAAAATTGAATCTTAATTTTATCTTTATTGTTTTAATGTTAAGATAGTCACTCATGCTTATTGCTGTTAGATGCCATTAAGTCAATTTAGACGCATAGTGACCACATGTGACAGAGTAGAATTTCCCCACAGTGTTTTCTAGGCTGTAATCTTTACAGCAACAGATCAATAGGTTTTTCTCCTGCAGAACCTCTCAGTGGGTTCACACTACCAACCTTTTGGTTAACAGCCCCAGCTTAATCTTTGCCCCACAAGGGCTCCTTCATTTAAGTTTATTATGGAGTAACCTACCCCAAAACCAAACCCACTGAGTCAATTCTGACTCACAGGGACCCTATAGGAAAGAGTAGAACTTCCCCATAGTGTTTCCAAGACTATAAATCTTTACAGAAGCAAATTGCCACACCTTTCTCCCACAGAGCAGGTGGTGGGTTGGAACCTTCAACCTTTTAATTAGCAGCTGAGTGCTTAACCACTGCACCACCAGGGCTCCTTTTAGAGTAATCTAGACACTTGTAAATATAAACAGATGTTTAAAGTGAGCTTCCTTCCCTGAAATCCCATACCCCAAGGTGACCCCCCACTGTAAGAGTTTGGTAAGTATCTTTATAGATAGTTTAACATCAATACACATTAAAGAAAGAAAGGAAGACAAAGAGAAGGAGTGAGGAAGGGAAGGAGAGGGATCATCCTGTTCCTAGAATCCTGCCCCTTGCTTTCCTCACCTAACAGTCACTACCCTCCCAGGTCCATGTGAGCCCACAGCCCTTCTCCTTGTTCTTTCTAACCTCTGCCTCATCTCTCTCACAGCCTTGCAAGCCTATCCCAGGGGTCATTCAAACATTGCATTGGATGGGAGGTGCATTTAGGATGTTTGCAGTTTATACAGGTAATGCTGCAAACAGTGTCCTTGTACATATATCTCTCATGTGTGACTATTCCTGTGGGATGAATTGGAGCATTTCTGGTCAAAGGGTCTACCCATTTAGGATGATGGTAACACTGCCACTTTGTCCCCTAAAAGGGTTTTATCGATTCAATTCCTTGGGAGAGTAAGAGGCTGTCAGTGTATCCTTTCTCACCCCATCCAACCTGTTATTGATGTATTTCCTTTCTTCAAAATGACTGCACCTAGTGGTGTTTCAGTGCCCTGTGGAGTGTTCACATTTAAATAGAAGAATACATTCATGAGCACTAAGAAAAGAATGAAAAATAACAGTGTGGAGGGTTGTCTCACTGTGATGTTTAATGCTATGTGTCAACTTAATTAGGTTATGATTCTCAGTGGTTTGGCAGACATTGGACTGATTGGTTTTCCATAAGATAATATAATATAATCACCTCCATGATGTGATCTGATGTGATCAGCCAATCAGTCGTAAGAGGAGTTCCCTCGGAGGTGTGAATTGCTTTCAGTATATATGGACGTTCTGACGAAGCTCACTAGCACACTCTCTCTGGATCCAACATCCGTCTTGTCATCATCTGACTTCTGGTTCTTGGGACTTGAGCCAACAGCCTGCCATCTGACCTGCAGATTTTAGGATTCTCCAGCTCCCGCAGCCCCATGAGCCAGCAGCCTGTTGTCTGACATGCTGATGTTGACTTCCTCAGCCACCGCAACCACAAGAGTCAGGAGAAGCCTCTAGCCTGATGCCTGACCCCTGGATTTGGGACTTGCCACCCTCCACAACTGCATGAGCCATTTCATTGAATTAAATCTCTCTATATATATTCATCCCCCACATGTCTGTCAGTTTGTCATACTGTGGGGGCTTGCGTATTGCTGTGATGCTGGAAGCTATGCCACCGGTATTCAGATACCAGCAGGGTCGCCCGTGGTGGATAGGTTTCAGCTGAGCTTCCAGACTAAGACAGACTAGGAAAAAGGACCCGGCAGTTTACTTCTGAAAAGAATTAGTGACCACCTTATGAATAACAGCAGAACATTGTCTGACATAGTGCCAGAAGACGAGCCCCAAGTTTGGAAGGCACTCAAAAGACGACTGAGGAAGAGTTGCCTTCTCAAAGTAGAGTCGACCTTAATGACATGGATGGAGTCAAGCTTTCGGGACCTTCATTTGCTGATGTGGCACGACTCAAAATTAAAAGAAACAGCTCCAAATATCCATTAATAGTCAGAACGTGGAATGTACGAAGTATGAATCTAGGAAAATTGGAAATCATCAAAAATGAAATGGAATGCATAAACATCAATATCTTTGGCATTAGTGAGGTGAAATGGACTGATATTGGCTGTTTTGAATCTGATAAACATATGGTCTACAATGCCAGGAATGACAACTTGAAGAGGAACGACGTAGCATTCATCATCAAAAAGAACATTTCAAGATCTATCCTAAAGCACAACGCCATCAGTCATAGGATAATATCCATACACCTACAAGGAAGACCAGTTAATAATATTATTCAAATTTACACACCAACCACTAAGGCCAAAGATGAAGAAATTGAAGATTTTTACCAAGTTCTGCAGTCTGACATTGATTGAACATGCAATCAGGATGCATTGATAATTACTAGTGATTGGAATGAGAAAGTTGGAAATAAAGAAGAAGGATTGGTAGTTGGAAAATACAGCCTTGGTGATAGAAACAATGACGGAGATTGCACGGTAGAATTTTGCAAGACCAACAACTTATTAATTGCAAATACCTTTTTTCACCAACATAAATGGTGATTATACACATGCACCTAGCCAGATGGAATGAACAGGAATCAAATAGACTACATCTGTGGAAAAAGACAATGGAAAAGCTCAATATCATCAGTCAGAACAACGCCAAGGGCCAATTATGGAACAGATCATCAATTGCTCATATGTAAGTTCAAGTTGAAACTGAAGAAAATTAGAACAAGTCCACGAGAGCCAAAGTACGACCTTAAGTATATACCACCTGAATTTAGAGACCATCTCAAGAGTAGATTTGACACACTGAACACTAATGACCAAAGACCAGATGAGTTGTTGAATGACATCAAGAACATCATACATGAAGAAAGCAAGAAGTCATTAAAAAGACAGGAAAGAAAGAAAAGACCAAAAGGGATGTCAGAAGAAACTCTGAAACTTGCTCTTGAATGTCAAGTAGCTAAAGCAAAAGGAAGAAATGATGAAGTAAAAGAACTGAACAGAAGATTTCAAAGAGAGGCTCAAGAAGACAAAGTAAAGTATTATAATAATACATGCAAAGAGCTGGAGATAGAAAACCTAAAGGGAAGAACACGCTCGGCATTTCTCAAGCTCAAAGAAATGAAGAAAAAATTCAAGCTTCGAGTTGCAATAATGAAGGACTCTATGGGGAAAATATTAAATGACTCAGGGAGCATCAAAAGAAGATGTAAGGAATACACAGAGTCGTTATACCAGAATAATTGGTCAATGTTCAACCCTTTCAAGAGGTAGCATATGATCAGGAACTGATGGTACTGAGGGAAGAAGTCCAAGCTGCACTGAAGGCATTGGCAAAAAAAAAGGCTCCAGCAATTGATGGAACATCGATTGAGATGTTTCAACAAACAGATATAGTCCTGGAAGTGCTCACTCGTCTATGCCAAGAAACTTGGGAGGCAGCTAACTGGCCAACCGACTGGAAGGAAACTATATTTTACACCTGTTCCCAAGAAAAGTGATCCAACCGAATGCGGAAATTATCTAACAATATCATTAATATCACATCCAAGTAAATTTTGCTGAATATCATTCAAAAGCAGCTGCAGCAGTATATTGACAGGGAACTGCCAGAAATTCAGGCTGGATTCAGAAGAGGACGTGGAACTAGGGATATCATTGCTGATGTCAGATGGATCATGGCTGAAAGCAGAGAATATCAGAAAGATGTTTACCTGCGTTTTATTGACTATGCAAAGGCATTCGACTGTATGGATCATAACAGACTATGGATAACAGTCCGAAGAATGGGAATTCCAAAACACTTAATTGTGCTCACGAGGAGCCTGTACATGGATCAAGAGGCAGTTGTTTGGACAGAACAAGGGGATACTGCATGTTTAAAGTCAGGAAAGGTGTGCGTCAGGGTTGTATCTTTTCACCATACCTATTCAATCTGTATGCTGAGCAAACAATCCGAGAAGCTGAAGATTGAAGGCATCAGGATTGGAGGAAGATGCATTAACACCCTGGGATATGCAGATGACAACCTTGTTTGCTGAAAGTGAAGAGGACTTGAAGCACTTACCAATGAAGATCAAAGACCACAGCCTTCAGTATGGATTACACCTCAACATAAAGAAAACAAAAATCCTCACAACTGGACCAATAAGCAACATCATGATA